GCATCCACGGGACAGGGGCACTCCCACGGGACACATACCTGTGGGACCCCGGGCACTTACGGGACATGACACCCGAGGGACATGGGCATCCACGGGACAGGGACACTGGTGGAGCAGGGAAATCCCCGCGGGACACTGACACCTTCCGTGGGACAGAGATACGCGGGGGACATGGATATACATGGGACATGACACCCGTGGGACAGGGACCTCCACGGCACAGGGACACGCGTGGAGCAGGGAAATCCCCATGGGGACCGACACCCCCACGGGACATATACCTGTGGGATATGACATTCGTGGAGCACGGACACCCCACGGGACACTGACACCCTCCGTGGGACAGAGATACGCAGGGGACATGGACATATACGTGAGACACCCGTGGGACAGGGACCTCCACGGCACAGGGACACGCGTGGAGAAGGGACACCCCCACGGGACACCGACTCCCCCGTGGGACACAGATACCGGGGGGACACGGACGCCCCCACACTGGACATGGATACCTGAGTGACAAGGACACCTCCGCGGGATATACACCCACCCCACGGGACACAGAGACCCCCGTGGGACAGGGATCCTGACTGGACACGGCCACCCCCGGGGAACACAGACTCCACTCCCCCAGGACGCGGACACCCCCCCAGGGGACAGGGACACCTGTGGGACACGGGCACCCACGGGAAAGGAACACCTCCCGTGGGACACGGACACCCCCACAGGACACGCACCCACCAGTGGGACGGCGCACACGGGACACGGATCCCCATGCGGGACACAGACACCAGCGGGACACAACACCCCACGGGACACAGCCCTCCCCGTGCTCGGGACACGGGCACCCTCCATGGGACACAAGAACCTATGGGACACGAACCTCCTCCCCGTGGGACACGGCACCCCACGGGACACAGCCCTCCCAAGAGACCCAACCCCCTCTTATTGCACCCACACACACACGAGACACGGCCCCCCACGGGACACGAATTCCCCACGTGGGGATGCGGCACCTCCCGGTGACGGAGGATCCCCACAGGACATGACATCTCCCACGGGACACTCGTTATCCCCACGGCACATAGACCCCCCCCCCACGAGAGACAACCCCCTCTCATCGCACACCCGTCCCTTCACGGGACACATCCCCCCCGGGGGACACAGCCCCCACGGGACACGGCATTCCCGCGGGACACATCCCACCCCACGCACACTTGTCCCCCCCTCACACCACCACACCAAACACTGTCCCCCGAGCACCATCACTCCGCACAGCTCCCCCCAGCCCCTTTATTCCCCGCGGGGGGGTCCCGGCTCGCTCCCGCGTGGGTCAGTGGGTCCGGTCAGGGGAGCAGCGCGGGCCCCTGCGGGAGGGGGGTCGGTCAGTCCCGGTCCCGGGGACCCCCCCGGTCCCCCCGAGCCCCCCCAGCCCCGACCCCGCTCACCGGCAGCGGATCCTCCCGACGGGGGGGACACGGGGGAGGGCGGCAGCGCCCGAGAGGGGCCGGGACCTGCGGGACAACGACCGTGGGAGGGGGAGAGAGGGGACCTCCGGGATGAGGGGGAAAAGGGGGCATCACCCCCGGGGGTGGTTAATTCCGGGGGGGAAATTCCAGGGTGGATAATCTGCCGGGGGGGAAGGGGTGGGTAACATGGGAGGGCAACTCGGGGGGAGGAGATAATGGGGAGGGGGGCGATAATCCCAGGGAGGAATAGTCCAGGGGGATAATCTGGGGAAGTGTAACTCAGGAAGGATAATCCTCGGAGAGGGAATAATCCAGGGAGGATGATTTGGGGAAGTGTAACCCGGGGGGAATAATATGGGAGGGAGTAGCTCTATGGGGGAGATAACCCGGAGGGGGTTAATTTTGGGGGAGGGATAATTGGGAAAGGGGGAATTATACCCCCCCGGCCCCCTTCAGGGATGATAATTCCGGAGGAGAGGGAATACATGGGGAGGTGTAATCTGGGGGTGGGGAATAATGCGGGGGGGGGGCAATTCGGGGAAAATGATTTGGGGAAGTGAAGCCCCAGGGGGGATATTATGGGGGGTGGGATAAATCCTTAGCGGATGGGAATGTAAATTCGTGGCGAGAGGGGGATGTAAACCCTAGAGGAGATAACTGGGTGGGAGAGGTGATTGCAGGGGGGATAAATCCAAGAACTCGGAGGGGAGATAATCGCGGGAGGGGGGCGGAGTTGTGAGGGGGAATAATCCAGGGAGGATAATCCTGGGGGAATGTAAACCCAGGAGCGGGGGGTTTTACCCTGGGGGGGGTTACAAACCTTGGGCAGGGTGGTGACTCCAGGGCAGGGTGACACGGCATCACCTTTGGAGGGGCGGAAACCACCCCCATGGGATAGGGAATGACTTGGAGGGGGATGAACCGGGGAGATGCACCCTACCTGGAGGTTCGGGGGGGTCCGGAGGTCCCGCTTGCCCCCCGGGTACCAGCCGTGGGACCAGTGCTGGGCGGGGGCGCGGGGCAGGGCACAGCTCAGCACCAGCAGCGCCAGCAGCAGCAGCGACCCGCGGGGAGCCATGGCCGGGGGGCTGCGGGGGCACAGGGGGCCCTGTCCTACCGGCACCCGCCCCGGGGGCACCTCGGAGGGCTGCGGAGGGCGAGGGGGCTTGGGAGGGGTGGAGGGATGAGCTCCCATGGGGTGGTTTGGGTCCTACAAAGATGGGAACCCCAGGGGTTGTGTGGGAGGAGGGGGTGAGCACTTCGCGGGGGAGGGTGGGGTTTGGATGGAAGAATGGAAAGGATGGCCCAGCATCTCATTGGGGTGGGTTTGGGATGGAGATCCGAAGGGGGTGAGCACCCACGGGTGCTGCCTGTGGTGGGTTTGGGGGTAGAGATGTGGAAAGGGTGAGCACCCATGGATGTGTCTTGGGATGGAGATCAGAGGGGATGATCCAACATCTTTTTGGACTGGGTTTGGGATGGAAATCTGGAGGGAAGGAGCACCCATGGGTGCTGCCTGGGGGGGGTTGGGGTTGGAGATGCAGAAGGGATGAGCCCCCATGGGTGGTCTTCGGGGTGGGTTTGGCATGGGGATCCAGAGGATGCGAGCACCCATGGGTGCTCCCTGGGGTGGGTGTGGGGATGGAGATCCAGAGGGAATGAGCCTCCATGGGTGCTCTTTGGGGCTGGAGAAGCAGGAGGAGCTCAGCACCCCATGGTGCTGCTGGGATTCGGGTCCAGCATGGACACCCACCCCCATGGGTACTACTGGGGTCTGATTCGGGGTGAGCAGGACCACCCACCCCGGGGTGAACCCCCCTCCCAGGGCTGGGGCAGCCTCACCTGGCTGGGCAGGTGCCGGTGGCCGGAGTAGTGACCAGTGGCTGGAGTAGTGACCAGTGGCCGGAGTGGTGACCGGTGGCCGGAGCAGTGGCTGCCCAGGCAGGCACGGCTATTTGAAGGGCTCGGTGACAGTGACGTCGGCCCGGCCACTGCTTCCCCGGGGACCATGGGATGGCGTCGTCCTCCCCGTGCCAGTGTCCAACACCTCCTCCTTCCCAACCCCCCCGACCCTGAAGGACAGCACCTGACACCCCTTTCTTGGGGAGGTCTGAACACTGCCCCCCCGGTACAGCTCATCACTCAGGGTGGGGTCCCCCCAGAATGGGCTCATTTCCCGATGGGAAAGGGGTGGATCCAGCCCGGATGGTTCCTTTGCAGCCCCCGGGATGCTCTTGGAGAAGGGAAGGGAGTAAATCCTCTGTGCATCAGTTTCCCCCATCCCAGCCCCAATTTCCCCGGTTGTCCCCCCATTCCAGGCTCATCACCCCCAAATCCAGGCTGGATTCTGGCAGTGGCCATGCAGCCCAATGCTCCCAGTTCCAAGGGTGCCACGGAGCCCAGGAAGGGGATTTAGGCAGGATCTGGCCCTGGATTATCTCTGGCAGCTGCTCATGTCTCTGCTGTTTGCAGTTGGATGCAGGATGGGGCCAGGGCAGATGCTGTGGAGAAAGGTCAAGGCAGCTCCCCAGACCCCAAAATTTGCCCTATCCATCCAGAGATCTTGAAAATGAAGGAAAAAAAAGGGGGAAAACCTCATTACTAGCAGCAGGAAGCAGCCAGAATCCACTGGGTAGCGGGATGGAAGGGCTTGTCGGGGTGGTCCCTGTGTGGAGCATGCAGGGGGGATGAGTGCAGCCCCCCTCTCCCAGGAGGGACCTCTTTTCTTTTGGGGTCACCACATTTATTTCCGAGTGTCACTGGCAGCTTTGGCCCAAAGTCTCCCAAATTCAGGAGCTGGAGCTGATCAGCAATGGGATGAAACTGGGGTTCATGAGGGGGTACGAGGTGATGGAGCAGGGCAAGTTCTGGGATGTGTTTTGGGTTGCTGGGGGTATTTTTGATTGCTGGAGGGGTCCCCCTGCCTGTGTGCCTCCACCAACCCCCCCTGTGAACCCTGCCTGGATGGAAAAGCTGGAAAACTTGGATACTCTGGCTCATGGGCTGTTTTTTTCCCCATGTTTTCCTACATTTCAATCCCATTCCCTCTGAGTCCTGGGGCACCTTGGGGCAAGGCTGTCACCATTCCTGGGCCCTGCCACCCACCCTGTGCTCCCTGTCACTGTTTGGGGAGTCCAGCCAAATCCTTGAGGGGAAGCTTCCACTCCAAACCAGTTCTCCCAGTGCCTGCAGAGGGGATGGAGCTCCTCCAGCTAACCTGGGCACGGTGCCCCTGACTGCAGGAGGAAAAAAAAGGAAGGTGTTTCCCCAGACACCCCTTTATAACACAAAAAAATAACCTCAAATTAACCCATTTTTTTAATATAGAAGTGCTGCACCCCTAGTCCTCAGGACTTTTCTTGACTCTCTGGACTCTTCTTGAAAGAGGGCAGGTTTATACTGGATATTAGGAAAATTTTTGACTGTGAGACCCTGGCACAGGTTTCCCAGAGAAGCTGTGGCTGCCCCATCCCTGGAAGTGTCCAAGGCCAGGTTGGATGGGGCTTGGAGCACCCTGGGCTAGTGGAAGGTGTCCCTGCCCATGGCAGAGGGCTGGAACTGGATGGTCTTTAAGGTCCCTTCCAACCCACACCCAAACCATTCCATGTTTCCATAATCTCTTGGGATGCCAGGAGGAATAATCTGACAGCCCCTCCAGCACCTGGGGATGGAGCTCACCTGGTCCCATTCCAGCCCCAATCCCTGGTCTAAAATCTGGCCCCAAACTCACAGGCCTTTCCTTCAAGGAGCAAAAATTCTTTTGTTTTTTTTCTGGCGTTTGCTTTTTTTTTGGGTTGAAATCCCAACATTTGTGTACTACTGTGGCTGTTAGTTTCCAAACCAGCAGCACATCGTGGCCTGACCCTGAAGGAGGAAACTTTTTGGCTTTTCATACAAAAATAAGGATATTTATATATATACACACACACAGAATAAGCTTTTTTCTTTTTTTTTTCTCCTTATTTTTTTTTTTTTAAGAGCTGACCAGCAGAAAAATGTGAAACCATTTCCCTGCAGGTTTGGAAAAGCTTGTGCTGGTGGGGTTGTGGGGGTTTGGGTTTTGTTTTCAGATGAGATCCAGGATATCTTTTTCTTCTTTTTCTTTTTTTTTTTTTTTTTTTTAAAAAAGGCTTTACTCCCTCAAGAAAAAAAAAAAAAAAGATTTACAAACAAAATAACAGCCTGTATCAGCTCTCCAGAAGAGAGATGGTGTGACAATATTAATCCAAACATCACGCTATTTAATTCCCCAATAAAACATTGGAAAAAAAGGAGCCAACAGTATCTGCACTAACACTTTGCTACATATAAAATCTCCAGCTAATATGAAGCTTATGGTACCAACCTCTAAAACAGTTAAGATATATACACATAGGTTTTTTGTTTGTGGGTTTTTTTTTTGGGGGGGAGGGGTATATTAACAAACAGAATATTACAAAATATTAAAGAAGGCAACTCTTCTGTCATTTGTTTGGGGTTGTGTGTGGATTTTTGTTCCTGGTTTTTGTTTGTTTTTTTTTCTTTTCTTCACTTGAAGTTGGCGTAGTCTGAGAAGGCGTCGATGTATTCCTGCACCACCTTGTAGCAGAATTCGTACTGTTCCTGTGGGATTCGGGGAGAGAACAGTGTTAGGCCAGGAAAATCCACACCTCAGGCATCATTTGATGGTTCGTGCTCTTTGGCAAGCTGGGACCATGCATGGCCAGGTGTCCTCAGCTGGATTCCCACCCGTGAGGTTCCCCCCTCCTTTGTGACCCCCAAACCCACCCTCCTTGCTGAGGTGCCAACAGCAAAAGAAACTCTCTGCTTTCTGCTTCCTCTCTCAAGTCCTATTTTGACCCCAAAAGAGTTTTTTCCTACATCCCTGATCATCCTCGCAAACCCCTCTGGCGAGACCTCATCCAGCCCTGCCTGCTCCAACCCTCCCTGTGTGCCCAAGCCTGTGCCACAGCCACTCCAGGACAGTGTTCCAGGTTCCTGGAGCCCGTAAATATGGGACTGTGGTGAGGGGTGTCTCCAACGAGGCTCCTACAGCTCCTCTTAGTGCTCAAAAGGCACTTGATGCCTTCAGCATCATCTTCCAGAAGCCTTAACAAGAGGAAGGGCAGACACCTCCTGGCACATCTCCATAGAATCATAGAATCCTAGAATGGATTGGGTTGGAAGGGACCTTAAAGACCATCTCCAACTCCCTGCCATGGGCAGGGACACCTCCCACTGGACCAGGTTGCTCAAAGCCCCGTCTGACCTGGCCTTGGACACTTCCAGGGATGGGGAATCCACAACTTCCCTCATGGAGAGGGAAAACTTTGAACCAGGGAGGTTTCTGCTCAACACTGAGCCCCCAGCCCACCCTTGCCGAGGTTTAGGTGCGGCAGGAGGCCCTTACCAGTGTCTGCACCATGTGTGGCCTCTGTAGTCTTAAACTCTTCACTGTCTGAAAGACGTCCAGGATCGCCTCTGCCTTCACCCTCTCCAGGACAGTGCTCAGCGCACAGAAGGTGCCCGTTCTCCCTGCTCCAGCACTGGGAAAGAAAAACCAGAGGGTGAAGGAAAACGCCTGTCCTGACCCTGTTGGCTTTGCTCAGGGCACAATCCGTAGGGGAAGCGCCGGAGAACTGGCAGAGCCAATGGTGCTGCCCCAGCTTCTCCCAGTATATCCAGGACATGCTTTGGGGCTCTGACCATCTCCCAAGCTCCTGGTCCCTTTGGAGGTGTGTCCAAGCTGCTCCAGCACTTTACCTGCAGTGCACAGTGATGGGGTGGTTGCCAGACTGCTGCTGCTGCTTCTGCACCGCCGCGATGATGTTGATCATCCCCTTCCCGTCCCCGGGGATCCCGACTTCTGGCCAGCCGTGGAAATGGAACTGCCGGATCTGCCGGCTCTTGTTTTCCTGGTGGGAGAGCACAGCTCGAGGTCAGGCACAGTTGGTGGGAGATCTGCACCAAGGAACCCACCAGCTCGGGGCTTTGGGAAAACCATCCATGTGGGAAAGCTGCTGGCGGAGGGGTGGCATTCCCGTGGCACGGAGCAGGGCAGGTATGGGGAATGGGGAGCAGGAGGGAGGCTGGGTCCAGGTGGGAAGAGGGACGAGGTGGAGGAGGGTGAGGGCTGCTGGGTGGCAGCAGGGCAGAGGGCAGGATAGGAACTCTCAGGGGTGTCATCACCCCTTTGGGATGATGGGGTGATGATTGAGCGGAAGAAACGCCAGCAAGGGCTCATGGCAGCCAAACCCAGGAGCACCCAGAGCTCCCCAGGACAGAATCCAGAATCTCACCCTGGTGTTTGTCACCAGCAGGTCCCGCACCGTGTAGCTCTCACACTCCTCCTCTTTCTTCAGCTCCACAGTGATGTCTCCGTAGGACACGGAGCCGTCAGACGGCCAGTACTGGGCACACTTCTCCTGAGGAAGCATCACAGGGGGAAGACAGGGTGAGCACCCCGTATTTTTCCAAAGGGATTGGATAGAGGAGTCTTCTGGGGCCTGCAGCTACCCAAAACCAGGTGGGATCCCAGACTCCCAGAATCACAGACTGGTTTGGGTTGGAAGGGACCTTAAAGACCATCTCGTTCCAACCCCCTGCCACTTCTTTATTTTGCTGGTGTTTGATGTAGCTGTTCCCGGGAGCTTACCTGGCCTCTCTCCTCCAGCTCTGTTAGCATCACTATGGAGCAGGATTTCCACTCCCAGATCATCCTCCAGAAGTCCTCTATCGTGTGCTGCAGCGGCCCTTGGCTGGCGATGTAGGAATCCTTCTGGCGATAACCCTGAAATTCGGCAACAGGGTTAGTGGTGAACTGGAAGCACCTGGATGCCAGGAGCAGCAGGAGGAATGCTCTTGGACATGGGTGGGTTGCCAAGCTGAGGGAGGATCATATCCCCTACACATGCCCTACTTTATCCATTCAGGGAAGAATGATTTGGGTTTCCAGCAAGCCTAAGCAATATTGCAAACTCTGAGTGTCTTGCCTAAGCTCCAGGTATTCAGGTATGATTTTTACTGGGGAATTTCTGGAAGAAGTAAGCAAAACTAAAAGGAACTAGACGATCTTTAAGGTCCCTTCCAACCCAAACCGTTCTATGACCTATGGAAACCAGCAGGAAGTCTGGGTGACTCTGGCTCTTCCGCAGCCACAAAGCGTTTCTGTTTCCAATCCCCTCCGACGTTCCCCTGTGCCCTCACTGCAGACTGTGACTAAAGATGCTTCGTCATTTGGAGTTTGTCATTGAAGCAAAGTTCAGCAGAGGCAGGAAATTGAATCCTCAACCAAAATTGCTTATGTGTCTTGGAAGCTTTCTGCTCTGGAGGCACAACAAGGCAGCTGCTCCTGCAGCCAGAGCCACCCGCAGGGATGCAGCAGAGGAGATTTCAGGGAGCAATTAATTGGGGATGTTAGAACTGGGAATAAACTGGTTTTAGTGGATCAACCCATGGCAGCGATTGCCTTTGGGGAAAAAAAAAAACCCTGCCATTAGGAGATGAAAGTAGAAATTGGGCTGGGAAAGAGCAGGGTCTGTCACTTGGCCAGCACTGCATGAAGATAAATACTCATCCGAGATGTCTCCCTGGAGCCTCCAGGATTGCTCAGGAGAAAAGGGTGTGCAATCACTTACCTCCTTCCCAGAGTGAGGAAAGCACTTAACCTCCCTGCCTCTCTTCCTCCCATCACCCAGACAGGTATAATGGGATTGACCTGGTTTTCCTCAAGGGTTTTGGGATCGTGTATTGCTCCATTACCTAATCTAGCGGATGTTTTCTGACCAAATGACCAGTGCTGTATCATTTCCGTGGATATGTGCGTGGATACACTTCTCCACAGCCATCAGCAGAGCCCAGAGGTGCAGAAGTGAGCCCAGGACTTGGAGGCTCTGCTCAGGCTCCAGCTCTCTGCTCCCACCAGCCGTGGGACACGAGGAGCTGGGAATACTGAGGGGTTTCTTGGAGACAGAAACCAGCACCATCCGGTAACACAAAAGCAAAGTCAAGTGGAAGGAGCCTTATGAAACTCAGAGAAGGAGTGTTTGGGACAAATCCTTCCCCCAGGAAGCAGCCTGAGGTGAAGTTTCCACTAGGAGAAGATGGAGAGGGGAGTAAAGAAGACTCACGTCAATGAAGGAAGCGTTTACGTAGTCCGTGTTCTCTTCACCTCTCTTCACTGGAATGATTACTCGGTTGAACTCATCTGAAAGAGAACAAAATGATCTGAGATTTGGGGAACTCCTTCAAATCACAACTCCTGGATAACCAACCTTTAGCTGAGAAGTCACCGAGGGCTAAGTGGGAGACAGAGATAAGGGAAGGGGAGCCCTGTGCTTACAGCACCTGACTGGGCCAAGGACAGTCAGCTCCACCCTCTGCCATGCCCTGGTTTGGGGAAGGAGAAGGGGATGCTGAGCACTCCAGAAGGACCTGCTCAGCTTTGGGACTCCCTTCCCCTCGAGGCAGAAAGCCTTGGCAGCAGAAACCAGCTGGCAGGGCCACACACAGCTGGTTGCCCATCTGTCCAGACAAATCTTAGGTATCTCCAAGGATGGAGACTCCTCAACCTCCCTGGGCAACCTGGGACAGTGCTTGGTCATTCTCACAGTCAAAACGTGTTCCCTGATGTTCAGAGGGACCCTCCTGTGTGTCAGTGTGTGCCCATTGCCCCTTGTCCTGTCACTGGCCACCACTGGGAAGAGCCTGGCTCCATCCTCTCTGCACCCTCCCTGCAGGTGTTGATGGACTTTGATGAGACCCCCGGAGCCTTCTCTTCTCCAGGCTGAGCTGTCCCAGCTCCCTCAGCCTTTCCTCAGAGCAGAGGTGCTCCAGTGCCTTCCCTGGGCTCTCTCCAGTCTGTCCCTGTCCCTCTGGTACTGGGGAGCCAGAACTGGACCCAGTGCTCCTGGTGTGGCCTCACCAGCGCTGGGCAGAGGGGCAGGACCCCCGTCCCTCGACCTGCTGGCCCTGCTGTGTCTCTCACAGCCCAGGACACCACTGTCCTTTGTCACAAGGGCTCGTTGCTGGCTCAGGGTCAGGTTGGTGTCCACCAGGACCCCCAGGTCCTTTCCTGCCAAGCTCCTTCCCAGCTGGGTGGCCCCAGCACAAACTGGTGCCTGGGGTTGCTCCTCCCTGGGGGCAGGACTTGGCAGCTTTCCTTGAGGAACATCATGAGATCCCTGTTGCCCCGTTTCTCCAGCCTGACTCCTGTCCCCACACCCACCGGACACGCAGACAAACCAGCCTTACATGGAATTATCTGAAGCACCCTGTTCTTCTTCATGTTTGCTGGCAAGTTGCCCGTTCTCATCTTGTCGTTCTGGATTTTGATTGAAGTGAGCTTCTGCAGGGGAAGGAGCAGAGCAGAGGCAGGTTTCAGAGCCACCCAGAGCCAGGCAAACACGTGCTGGTCCCTGTGGCCCAGCACCATCCCACCGGCTCCCATTAGGACAACAGCCACACTCACCTTAAACTCCTCTTCCAGCCCGTTGCTGCTGGTCCCTGGCACTTTGTTGTAGATCTTCTGGAGGTGGATCTCTAAGGAGGTCACCTCCAGCTCCGTGTCACCGTAGAGATAGTGCTCCAGAAGTGCTTGGTATATAAACACATACTGCATCTGCAAGGGTTGCAGGGAGAAGCTGTCAGTCCTCGTTCCATGCCCAGGGAGCACATCCTGGTGCCTGTGCACATCTTGGATGCAATCCCACCACCCCACTACCCACCCCATGCTCTCTGGGCAGCTGGTGCCCCCCTGAGACCCTAGGAAAGTGAGGGACAATCTTCCTGCCACTAAATGGGGACTGGGACCTTATTTGCTGCACCAGGCAAAGCTAAAGTGACCCCAAATGTTATCCAAGTCTGGAGAAAAGGAGGCTCAGGGGGGCAAGGGAGACCTTCTTGCTCTCCACAACTCTCTGACAGGAGGGTGGAGCCAGGGAGGTGTCGGGCTCTGCTCCCAGGGAACAAGGGACAGGAGGAGAGGAAATGGCCTCAAGTTGTGCAAGGGGAGGTTTAGGATGGATATTGGGGAAAATGTCTTCATGGAAAGCATTGTCCATCTCTAGCACAGCTGCCCACGGCAGGGGTGGAGTCCCCATCCCTGGAGGGATTTAAAAGCCGTGTGGATGTGGCACTTGGGGACATGGGTCAGTGGTGGCCTTGGCAGTGCTGGGGGAATGGTTGGACTCAGTGGCCTTAAGGACCCTTCCAACATAAATGATTCCACGATTCTGGGAAGGGGATTAAAAAGGGCAGGACCCAGTAAAGGGCTCACTTGACACAACACCCACCGAAAATGAGGGACGATGCTCAACCCTCACGCAGGCTTTGGTTGCGTGATGGAATTCCAACCCCAGAGCAGAGCCCAGGAGGAATGGCAGCCCCACACTTACGTCTGTCTGTACCATCTGGCAGCGCTGAGCCCGGATCCGGCTCACGAAGCCGTAAACATCCACCTTCCTCTCCGCGTGCATCATGTCCAGCATGGCATCGATGACGATGAAAGTGCCCGTGCGTCCCACCCCGGCACTGCAAGGCAAGGCACAGCCCGTCAGGGCAGCGGGCCTGGGGGCCCTTGGAGGGCAGCCAGGAGCGAGCCAGACACTCCCCAGCCCTGAGCAAACACCTCGATGTCTGTCTGGGAGATGGGAGAGGTCCTGGTGTTCACTGCACTCCAAGTTTGGCAGCTTCTCCAGTGACTGCAACGGAGTGTGTGACAGGTTGGGAGAGCTGGGGGTGTTAGCTTGGAGAAGAGAAGGCTCAGGGGAGACCTTAGAGCACCTTCCAGTGCCTAAAGGAGCTCCAAGAGAGCTGGACTTTAGGGTGGTGAGGCCCTNTGGGGGAATGGTTGGACTCAGTGGCCTTAAGGACCCTTCCAACATAAATGATTCCACGATTCTGGGAAGGGGATTAAAAAGGGCAGGACCCAGTAAAGGGCTCACTTGACACAACACCCACCGAAAATGAGGGACGATGCTCAACCCTCACGCAGGCTTTGGTTGCGTGATGGAATTCCAACCCCAGAGCAGAGCCCAGGAGGAATGGCAGCCCCACACTTACGTCTGTCTGTACCATCTGGCAGCGCTGAGCCCGGATCCGGCTCACGAAGCCGTAAACATCCACCTTCCTCTCCGCGTGCATCATGTCCAGCATGGCATCGATGACGATGAAAGTGCCCGTGCGTCCCACCCCGGCACTGCAAGGCAAGGCACAGCCCGTCAGGGCAGCGGGCCTGGGGGCCCTTGGAGGGCAGCCAGGAGCGAGCCAGACACTCCCCAGCCCTGAGCAAACACCTCGATGTCTGTCTGGGAGATGGGAGAGGTCCTGGTGTTCACTGCACTCCAAGTTTGGCAGCTTCTCCAGTGACTGCAACGGAGTGTGTGACAGGTTGGGAGAGCTGGGGGTGTTAGCTTGGAGAAGAGAAGGCTCAGGGGAGACCTTAGAGCACCTTCCAGTGCCTAAAGGAGCTCCAAGAGAGCTGGACTTTAGGGTGGTGAGGCCCTGGCACAGGTTGCTCAGAGGACCTGTGGTTGCCCCTGGATCCCTGGCCCTGGAAGCGTCCAAGGCCAGGTTGGATGGAGCTTGGAGCAACCTGGGTTAGTGGAAGGTGTCCCTGCCCATGGCAGAGGGGTGGAATGAGACAATCTCTAAGGTCCAGAGTCCTAATAGGCTGCCTGTTCCTACCAGCTGCCTGATGCTCCATCCACTCAACCTCCACCACATGAAGATGAGCCCATGGGGAGGCCTTGGCTCTTAATGGGATCTCAACCATTAAGGAGAAGAAGAATGAGGCCAACAGACACTGTGGAAAGAGGCAGCCCTTGTGTCAGTTGCCTCACAAGAAAGAATGAAAGATGGACTTGGGAGGTTGTAAATATGACCATCTTGGCCTTTAACTGTGGGGCTCCCCCATATTGAAATGTGGAAGCCTCTGTGGCTCCCCCAGGCTTGCTGAAACCACTCCATATGAGGCCTAAGACCACAGTCCTTGCTCCAGGCATGGTGTCAGCTCAATACTGCCTTCTCCTAACAAGGGGTGCTGTCCTCTTGTGCCCGGAGAGCCAAGGGAGATGCCACCAGTGCCCAGCACTGGTGCTCAGCTTGGCTCACTCAGCATCCAGACAACCCAAATGACCCCTCAAGATCAGCTGCACCACAACAACATCACTGATCCCAAGAATTTCCTTCCATTCACGTGCATTTTTCTGAATGTTTCCATGGGGAACATCCCCGTTTAACGTGGGAAAGTTGAATAAAGATAATAAAAAAGTCCTGACTGAAAACAAAAATTCCTTTTAAACAGGAAGTGCTTTCCAGGCGACCGAGGTCAGCTGTGAGCCCGACTCACCTGCAGTGCACCACTATGGCTCCTGCATACTGGGGATTGCAGGTCTTCACCTTCTTCAGGAATTTCAGCATCCCGATGGGGGTGAAGGGCACCCCGAAGTCGGGCCAGCTGGTGAAGTGGAACTGAGTCACCAGGCGCTGGGGCTTCTTGTTCGTGACGTCCCCGACCTGAGGGGAAATGGGTACCCAGGTGTCAGAGACTGAAATAGTTAATGATTTATGCATTCTAGGAGACTTTTGCAGGCTTTTGACTGTTGATACATCTGATGAGCAATCAGGCCCCTCCCTCCCTCTGCTAACCTTGAAAGGCGGGAACTAGGCGAGACACAAAAGACTCAGCACAGACCTAG